CCCCAAAACCCCAAAACCCCAAAACCCCAAAACCCCAAAACCCCTCATTATATTTTTAATATTGAAAAGTCTAACCTGAGGATCAAACTATATTGTTATTAAGGAATTAAGCGTAGTCTTGGCCTTCGTCACCTTTGTTAGCACCGGCTCCCCATTCTTCAGCATCATCTTCTTCGTCATCGTCTTCCTCACCTTCAGCATCATCATGTCCTTCTCCTGCTTCTTGTTCGCCTTCTCCTTCGGCTTCAGCGGCTTCTTCCTCACCTTCTCCTTCATCTTCCTCTTCGTTGAGTTCTCTGTGCATGAAGAGATCGACCATTTCGTCCCACTCTTGGTCTCTGGAAAGAGTTCCTCTGAGATAGAGGACCTCTCTGGCGAGGAGCCAAAACACGGCGGCGACAGCTTCTTTACCCTTGTTGTTACATGGAATAGCAATATCGACGTTAGTAGTTGGGCAATCAGTGTCGCACAAAGCGATGGTGACAATGTTCATGTAGGTAGACTCCTTCAAACATCCTCCGTCGGTCATTGGGTCAGCGACGATCAAAAGTCTTGGCTCGATGAACTTCTTGGTAATTTGATTGGTCAAGGATCCGGATACCCATTGGGAGGCAATTGACTCGCACTTGGTATGTTGAGAGTATTTAATGATACCTCTGTGAGCAATTTCTCTGTTGGTAACACACAATACATCATTTGAGTTTTGGATAGATGCGATAACTCTAGCAGCTAGCATAATTTTCTCCCAAGTCTTTTGGACATTGTGGTAGTAAACACCTTCATCGTTGGTTCCATAAGTATATTCCTTCATCATATGGTTAACATTCTTGGTACCAACATATGCCTTTGATGCGAGGAGTAATGCGATATCTTCCTTATAAGTTCTTGAGTATGGATACAAATCTGACATTTTTTGGGATGTTATAAATAATAATTTTCAATAATATAATTTTCTTATGGGGTTTTGGGGTTTTGGGGTTTTGGGGTTTTGGGGTTTTGGGG